TTGCTGGCGATTACTATTTGTGATTTTCAGGAGGTCATGCCCTCGAAATACTAGTGAAACAACACGCAGAGATGTCACTGTTTGTAAAACATGTTGTCGATAAACAACAATTCCCTGTTTTTCTCTGATACTACGGTAGACATTGCCATGCCTAGTCCCTGTACGGCGTCTTCCCACGCAATCTCGGTCAAGGCAATTTGGTGGCGTATCTATCCCTGCAATGAGCTGTGAATGAGAAAAAAGTGCGAGTTCTTTAAGGCGGCTGCATACATATAACAGGGCATGTATGGGCCAGGAAAGGCTGTCTTCCCTCGCACTAATGCACTTACATTATCAAGTTAAAATTGTTTTGGATGAGGTGATAAATCTGTTTGCCACCAAACACCCACGGAGGCTGGGGCTCGGGATTATTCTGAGGGATTAGTTCCGCAGTATTCTGATGTATCATTCGACAGCGTTAAAATTACTCCTTTATAACTTTATTCAAACAGTTGTATTCGACAAATGTAATATTCAGTTCCTACCGTGTACTTTGCCATTACAATATCTCATGTATTGCTACTTTCCTAAATAAACGAATCAGACAAAAAAAAATATACATTTCGGTAGTTTGGTCCACTTTGGTCTCGTTAGCACCCCCATATAAAATCCTGGTTACGGGCATGTGTTTTCTCCTCGTCTTTCTCTCGAGGTCGTTCTTGAGGATTTCTACCAAATATTGAACTGACTCTCGGCCAAACCCGTTTTTACTGAAAAGCTCTTCATCAGTGAATTGGTCGAGATCAATTTCTTGCTGTCGGAACTTTTTTTCACGTATTTGAGGCAACGGTAAGTCCGCCAATTTGTTTGTTTTACAAACGTTTTCCCCCGATTAGTGACTTAATCGACCTCGCTAGGTGGGTTAAAATTAACACTTAGTTTATTCCTAGATTAAAGTTAATCATGCTTTCAGGAACAGGATCAAATCGTGGGACAAAATGTATTCGGCGATTAGCGAGATTTAATCCTCGATTAGCGCTAATTCGGCTTTCTAGGAACCCGGGCCAGGGTACTACTGCCCTTGGACCTATTCTATTCCTGCTTTAGATCTCACCCTTGGGTGATATTATGAGACACCATGAAGTTGACGTTCATTTGTATGCCGATGATACGCAATTATACAGTCACCTTTGAATCATTCTCTGCTAGCCTAGCAAAATTAGCGACAGAAGACTGTGTGCGAGATATCGATGCTTGGATGACAGTAAACATGCTTAAAATGAACAGGGACAATTAGAGACAGAACTAGTTGTCTTAAATGCCAGTCATGCACTCACCTCCGCCCCTGACATGCCACTAGAAATAGGATCTTGTGACAGTTTGAAAGATTTCAAGAAAAAACTGAAGATGTATCTTTTTAGGAAAGCGTTTATTTTATTAAATTAATTCTTTTTATATTTTAGTCGTTCCAATATACATATATATATATATATATATATATTAGTCCTTTTTATCTTTTAGCTTTATATTTCAAGTTTTTATTAAACTAGTCTTTTTTATATATATTTTAGTCGTTTTAATTGAATGTAATTTTTGAATACTCTTGTGAACAATATTTGTCATTTAGTAATATTGTAAAGCGCTATTGGACATAGCTGGAAATGGCGCTATAAATAAAGTATCATTATTATTATTTATCATTATTATTATTATATTTAACATTAAGAATAGATGCACAGGCCAGCAATCGAACCCGTGCCAACCGCGTGGCAGGCGAGACTTCTACCACTGAGCCACCAATGCCTTGTTGAATTTTTGATGATGATTAAGTAAGTTCAGTACCTAAAGTGACTACATCGCCCGTTGGTTTTTATTTCCTCTTTCGTTTTTAGTATTTCAGTGAATAGTAACTGCCTAGGAGCTGAACACAGTTAACATATCTTTATTATGACGACATATACAGCCAGTAAGCTTTTAAAACTGTTTTAAAAGAGAATGTGCGAAGAAAAGTTGAGGAAAATGCTCAGAATTTCTTAATAAATTTAATTCTGTTTTTGTCTCCATTGACATATCACGTGATCTCACGCGCACAAGTTTTGAGCATGCGCACTTAGAGAGCAATGTGAAAGATGTCCATATAGTTTCAGACGATTGAGAGATATGGGAAGGAATTAGTCAGTAATTAATATTCTGACAGCACTGTTCAGAGGCGCGCGGAAGCTAGAGGGATAGTTTCGAACTATTTATGGTTTTGGCGCGGGATTTGTGCTCAGTCGTCGTGTTCGCTTTCGTTTTGTTTTGCATACCTTCTCTCCGATGGTTTATATCGTAAAATTCCAAAAATAAGCCCCTCCAATATAAGCCGCAAAAAACCCTCCGTTAAATCGCCCCTCCAAATATAAGCACCCCCCCCTCCCCCCGGGGAGGGGAAGGCTTGTACTTGGAAAATTGCCCTTAAATACAAAGGAAAACAAAGCAAAACGGGTAAATTTACTTCCAGCTATAACGCTAGCCCAATCGATTTCGAAACGCACATTTCCCTCCGTAGATAAGCCACTCTGAATAAAAGGGCCTTTGAAAAATATAAGCTCCAGGGCTTATTTTCGGAATTTTATGGTATTCTTACGTGATTGGATCTGCATATTTTGGAAAACAGTAATCTTGTCTTGGTATATAGCTTAGGGCTTATGTAATTGGGTTTCTGGACCAGTATTCTTCGAAATTAGTCTAATCGGAGTAGTCTACGTAACAAGTTATTCACTGTTTTATGTTTTTCGCGTAAACCCTTTCGAATTACCCGAGGTATCGTGCCACTGCATTAGTAAGGGAATACGTTTCAACACAATTTTTGGCCACTTCTCAAGGGTGGTTTTTAGCGGGGCTACCGCGCGCGCGAAGCGCGCGTGGGACAGAGCCCCATACCCATGGAATATGGTCAACCTCTTTTCGCTTGGTTGTCACGTGACTGACCGAGCGTACGGACGTACGTACGTACGCGTCTACAGTTTGTACGGGTAGGGTAGGGGAGACTATCAAAAGGAAGGGAGGGGTGTCTCAGGCGCGTCTTGGCAAGTCCTCATCTTTTATATATGACACTCACAATATGGTCAATTGACAGCTGTAAAAACAGTATAGCCACTGACCAGTATCCCATGACCATATCGCGGGCTCGTGTGTCAACTCATCGAGGTGACATGATTTATTTGGAAGCTGTCCGCTGACCAGTTAATCGTTTTACTAGATCGCGAACAATGTTCAATCTCATGTTTTTTAGCTAGTTTGGGATCGAAGCACAGGAAAACTGATACACATATTGGACATCAATGTAGTGATCAATTGACAGCTGTCAAAACAAGGTATCCGCTGACCAGTATCACTTGAGCGAATCGCGGGCTCAGGTGTCGACCCATCGAGGTCAAGTATTAATTGAAGTTATCCGCTGAAAAGGTACTGGTTTTCAAATGATCGCAGGCTCAAGTTTAATTTAAAAAAAAAATCATATGAAATATGTTGTGTTTATGTGCCGCACAATTAAAATTTTGATTTCAAACTGACCTCGGACGCGAAAATTCAGTCAGCTGCTACAGGCAGGGAAGACAGTTGCTTTTGACTTTTCTCACCATGTTCACGCGTTGGTCACGTACTACGTCCAATTTTTATGCTCTGATTGGTCAAAATTTGACAGGTGAGTTCATGCGGAAAATTTAGGCAGCATCTTGAATCTTGTTTACTTTGACAGCTGAAGCTGACGGAGTTTTGTGTCAACTTGTGATGTTTTTAACTGTCTTTTTAAAGGTAATGAGTATGGTTTTGATAGAAGTACATGAATAAGCCTAGTTGTATTCAGTATATATCATGAAATTTTAAGATACCAAGATGTTGAAAGATTGAATCAGTATGTGCATCGAAAGTGGTTTTAGCTATAGTTCTGATCACTCGTTTCTGTAAAATCTCAAGACGAATAAAGTTAGTTCTGTAAGTAGAGGCCCAAACTAAGTTGCAGTAAAAAAGTATGGATAGACTAGAGAAAAATATAGTGTTCGTAAGGTTTTCGTAGATAAATAGAAACTGGATTTACGAACTGAATTCCTGTGCATTTAGAAACTTTATTGGCGACATGTGAGATTTCAGATTTCCAATTTAAACTTTCATCCATGATTGCTCCCAAGAAAACAATTCATTCGAGGAATTCTTGTCAGCGCTTGGTGAGCCGCCGGATGTCTTAGAATTACGTGTTTCTGGCATAATTTTGGTGCACAGGAAAAACAAAAATACTGACAAATCGATGAAGTAGGCAAGGAAAAGAGCGAAATAATCAAAATACGAGGAGCTAAAAAATTAGCGTCCGCCCGCCATAAATATGCAAATTTAGTAGCATGGGTTGGAATAGCCTTTTGATTGGGTTGTTTTGGCTTAACTTGTGCTCAAATAGCTCCATGAGGAATACTTTGCCCTGCAGGGTAGAATTGGCACTTTGTGGCTGAAACAGATCTTTTAACGTAGCAATTGTCAAATTTTCATTCAAGTTTTTTTAGGTGGAAAAAATTACATACAGTTCGTATGTTTAGTAGTGTCTCTCTTTTGATCGCCTAGCTTCGCCCTTCCTGTGGAGTGTGAACATAAACATGAACATATAATGAGAAGCTACACAGGTTTCTGCAGGAAAGCAGAACAATTAAAATCAAAGTGCAGGTGCGTACGCTGCTAATGATACGGGGATTTAAAGATAAAAAGGAGAAACAAAAAGTAATATGTTTTGGGACTGTTTAGCTCGAACTTAAACTGACCAAAAGCTTAGGTTTCTTTATTACGTGTATATGAACTCCTTTACAAAAGGCCGGACGATGTCGACTGAATTAAATACTTGGTAAGACAAGATCAGTAGCTTTTTAAAAGATTAATACCATAAAAAGAAATGAAAATAAACAGGAACACAAGATTAACTTAAAACATTCGTTGTTTAACTAAAGAGAACAAAGCACGGATCTCAGTAAACACCGGTCTACTGTTCAGCTCTCTTAATGGAGCATTATCTCGCGGGTTTGTTGATTCTCTGTATTTCCGGAGAATCACTTGCAAGTACCACCTCACTTCAGCAGCAAAAAAGCGCAAAGATAAAAGATTTATGTGAGGTAAGATATAATTGTCTTGCTTTGGCTGAAATTTCTTTTGTCTCCACGCGCAGTGCGTAAAAGCAGCGAAGGAAAATTTTCCATCACTTCTCCTCCGATCCTGAAAAACACGTTATCACTTACCTTACCGTGACCGTTCAATGGAATCGCAACTACCACTTAATAGATGATATTGCACCCAAGCGTCTTTTTTTTCTTTCTGAAATGGGCTGGACTCCAATTTGTGACCTACTGTTTAGTCAATGTCTGCTTAACATTGATAAGCTCGATCTTGGAATTTAGGGCACGTTTCTTTACTAAAATCCAAGATCAGATCAAAAATCTGGATCATTAGGATTTTTCGTTAGGAAAACGAACGATGTATCCAAAAAAGGATTTGTTTTCATTAATTTCCATAGAAACGACCCAAAATATCGACGGCCTCCCGGACAAAGAATAACACGGCTGCTAACAGTATTGCGAATTCGCTGATCTTTCATTGTATTCTGATGATTAGGCCAAGGATACTGCTTTAGACGGGCCAAATAAAGATGATTCTTGCAATTAGATCTGTACTGGAAAAGTAAATCCTTACAAGACACGCGGATGAAGTTGTGTAGCAGTTTGTCTCACAGCTAAAAGAAACCATAGTTGGTGGATATTATGGAATTTAGAAGCCATTTCCTTCTTAAGCTCTCCACTAAAATACAGTTACTTCATCTTTATTTTCAGAAATCAATACTGAGTCATGGTTTTCCCAGCATTGTAGGATCAAATGGTATGCCCGGAATGCCTGGCGTTCCCGGGCCGCAAGAACTACAGGGAAGGGAAGGCAAGAAAGGACAGATCGGGGATAAGGGAACACGGGGAATGTCGGGACCACGGAGAGACGGAGGGAGTGAAGGGCCTCCTGGGAAGAGCGGACTGCTAGGAATGAAAGGCATCAATGGTGAACCGGGACTTGGGAATGAAAGGAGAAACAGGCATTGTGGGAAATCAAGGAAGAAAAGGTTCGGAGACAAAGGAGAGAAAGGACAGAGCGTCAAAGCAAGTCAAGCAAGTGTAGTAGCACAAACCAACTGGAAACAATGTGTGTGGAAATCACCAAGCGGTACTGATAACGGGAAGATTAAGGTAAACAAGAAGCGCGCTTTACGCAGACCCTCGTGAGTGGGATAGATGATCTCAATCGGTAGAATGAGGTTGAAAATTCAATATTTTGCTTAGATAAACTTAAGGAACAATTTAACAGCAATGAGGTTAGCAATCCCTTCATCCTGTAAACCTTCAATCCCATTTAACCTGCCTCCAGCTGGAATTAATTCCCTGCGTAATGTCATGGGTGATGAATTACTCCTTAATTTTGGTGCGAAATTTCCGCAATTTGATTGGCTTAGAGCAGTAGTATTTCAGCTTAATTTGAACTACCTACGTGTGAAAATTACAAACCTTTTTCGGATAGTAGTATAAACTAATAATAGCATGATTTGTATGTGATATTTGGCAGAAATACCACTTGTGATACTTCAAAATTGTATCAAATCTCGCTCGCCTAACGGCTCGTTAAATTACGTATAACAATTTCGAAATATCACTCTTGGTATTAATGCCTAATATCACTACAAATCATGCTATCACCTATACTAATATATAATTTCACATTTGAAATCACAAAATTGCCATGGCAACCTTCTTTATGTCTCAGTGCCAAGATCGCTACGCAGTTTTAAAATTTATGAATGAAGATGTCATTGGGACATTAAAAGACGCTTTAGAAAACCTATAAACACACGAAAGAGCACTTCCAGAAGGATTCTAACAGGTATTTTGTCGAAAATTTCTGAAAATTCTGAGCTTGAGTCAAGTTTTTAAAGCTAGAAACTTTTGAGAGCGTGGAGTTCTCGATCGCCAATTATGATAGAACCATGATGAACATATTAAAAATCCACGATTGTGAAAGTAATTTGTCACCCAGGGTAATCAAATGGTCCATTTGTTGAACTAGGGAGTAATTTCATTTTCGTTTTGTCCAAATGCTAATAATTTCCGGAGCTTTTCACCATCAGGGGCACTCGACCACTCTTTTTGTGTAAAATATCTGTTCGGCGAAGCAAAAATAATATATGGCTTGATTAAGGTTAAAAATTGCTAGATGACCTTTCCATTTATGTACAATTTTCGAAGTTTATCTAATAAATTCCCTAGGTTTTCTTAAGCTTAATTTTCGCATTTCACTCTCAGTAAGTTTAATCTTATATTAAGCTTTTTCAGAAACTCATAAGGGGTTGAAACGTGTATCTCTCATATGTTTGCTTTGTCCGATGCTCGTGATTATTCATTTTCTAAAGTACCATATTTGGAACGAGAAGAAGAGATAACTGACCAATCAAATTTCGTAAACAACGTGACGTAATTTTCCTTCAGTTTCCCGCGCCCACTTAAAAAAATGGCCGACAAACGGGAGAAAAACTCCCGAAAGCCGAGAAAGCTTTCGAAGGTTGAAACCAGGAATATTACCGAAACACTGAGCAGGATATTATTGCCTTACCACCCGGGCCAAACGTAACATTATGAAACCCACTGACGGCCTCGCAACTTCTTGAAGTTGTCACTTCAAAAAATGATGCCTCGTTGACCCTCTGCACAGTAAACTTATACTGCAAATAGGCTTTTAAAATTCTTATGCTAAAAGTCTAGAATAAAAAGTGAAAAATATTTTCGAATAAAATTCTTTAGCTGCTTATCGAAAAGTGTCCAAAACCTGAACCTGACATCTTCGCAAAAAGTGATGCTTGTAATGAATGTGAGAAGCATTTTAAAAGCTTAAATTAAACTTAGATGTTGTAGTCACGATCGTGTTTTGAGCTAATTTTATGAATGAACAAACTCAAAACAATAGACGGAGAAGCCCTTTCTTGAAAATTTTTATTCAAAGTCCAACAAGGTAATCCTTTAAAGCAATTCGGAAAACACTATCTGGATCGTGGATCCGTTCACGCAAGTGAAATCGGCTAAGCACATGGCAAAATTCAGCACAAAATCCATCTCAAATCAGGGCACATTTTGTAATTTTCTTTAGCGCCGAAACGAAAAATTTATAAAACGTCTATGAAACATTTAAAAATACATAAATTCCCTTCCAAAAACGTAATTGTCTTGGCCATAGAGTGCAAAATGTACCTGAAAATTTCATCGCTGACTTGGTTGCATTTCAAAACAGACCATGGGCTTCGCAGTGAAGAAAACAAGGTTGAATTCCTCGAAAGACGATTTCTTGATGAAAAGCTTCCCTTTCTCCACAAAAAGAAAGCTGAGCATTCTTTTGAACTTTCTCTTTCCATTTTTGTCTTTTAACGGTGTATTTTTAACCTTGAAAAGCAGAACTCTTGTCTTAAAACATCTGCATGGTGATCGCGCAGTAGCCATTTTGTTGAAAATGGATATCGGTCACTAAGGTTTCCAAATATGGTCAAAATGAATATTCACGAGCATTGAACGCGAGTTACACTTTTCAACCCCTTATGGGTTTCTGGCTTTTTTTTTTCACAGCAAAAGGAAACCTAAAATTTTCGAGTTCGCAAATGCGATGGAGAGAGGAATCAGAAAAATTGTTAATTTTGCAAAACTTTGAATTGCAACTAAATTTTCAGCAAAATAATTCAGAAACCGTGGTAATTTCGAAAAGACTTAAGTTGCCCTAGGATGAAAGAACAGATACAAATTTATAGGGCCGCTTAGAATATAATAAAAAGTGTTTTTAATGCATTTAGGAGGAAACCGTCGTTGGGTGCCCTTGTACCATTTCATTACACTTGCTTAATGTTTAGCATTACGAGTTGAAGTCGGATACAGCGCTTAAAGTCTCATCTTTCCAACATATTTTCCCTCCCCCCACCCCCCTACATAAATAATGACCGGTCCCTAATGACTTGAAATTTTTTGGCTTACCCCTGCCTTGGAGAGTAAAAGTAACACTGCACTGTTCCGAAGAACAAAGCAACAGCTATCCGGACAATCGAAATTTAAATGCTCTTGTATTTAAAACAGATGGGTATTTCTTTATAATACTAAACCCCATCGTCTGTAACCTCTGACCCCTGCTTGCGTGCACGTGAAACGGACCTGTTCAAATCTTGAAAGACAACAGATGAAAACAAACAGATTAACAAAGGAAAGTTATTGCAATCTTAAACTGAAGTGTCTGGATACTAGGCAACATACTGTATGTCATTAAAACTCATTGCACCAATCGCAGAATCATAGACGAGAAGTGATATTTCAGTCTTTGGCGATGATGGTATATCATTTATATCTACTGTTTCTCTACATGGGATGAGTTTATTGCTAATAACTACAACACCTCGGCAATAGAAGGGCATCGAAAGAGCTCAACCTCCACCCTGAAATCATGATTAGAATTATAATGTAAAGGTGGTCTTTTTTAAGATTTCTTTGTCACGCATATAAGATGCTGTGAGATAAGGAGGTTTAAAGATACGTATGGCAATATTTTACTTTCATGATAAGCACTTCTTACCTAGAGGTGGATGATTTTAGGAGGTTGCAACCTCAAGTTTATGGCGTGTCAGAAATATATAAGAAAGCAAGGCACCATCAAGAAAAAGGAAGCAACAACCATCATGCAACATAATGATGTCAATAACGGATCTTAGAGATCTTAGATCTTTCGCCCGGAGTAGTCAATCGATAAGAATCGGTATCGATAAAAATCGATGCAATCAAGTGATTTTTATCGATCGATAACGGAAGTCGGTGAAAATCGTTAAACTAAATTGCTGTGTCAAATAGATATTATCGATTTTTGGTGATTTTAACGATTTTCAATGGAAGTCCGACATTGTTGTTTTTTGACATAGGTTATGTAGTACAGCTGATAAAACACATCCACGAGTAACAACTCATCAACAAACATGAAAATAAGATATGTAGAAACTATCACAGACACAAGATTCTCTATAAAACCCGTTTGTACATAATAACAAAAACGGTTCGGTTTAATTACATTGCAGTTCTCGCAGGAAAGTATACAACCTCTGAGATAAAAGATTTCCTAGCCTGAATTTTCGAACCTCCGCTAGAGTCGAGGGGATGCCTAAAATTCAGGCTAAAAGATTTCTTTAGATAAATTTTCACCGTTTTCCGTTATCAATCGATAAAAATTACTTGAACGCTGACGATTTTTATCTTTAGGCTGCTCCGGAAAGAACTACACGTAGAACTGACGTTTGAAATGGTGGCAGATCTAAAATGTTAAAAGGAGGGCGCCTACAAACCTGGCCAATATCGGCCATCAGAAGAACACTTTAAACAAGGTTTCAAAGAAAGAATAAGAGTCTTTTTTTAAACTCTATTTATTTATTTATTTATTTTTTAAAGTGATAATTGTTTGATCCTTCGACTTCCAATTGCAACTCAATATTGTCAACAAATTCACTGTTTGCATGAAATCAGTTTTCATTTTTGGATGAACAGAAGAACAGATGTATCTTCCGATATAAATCGATGAAATCGATAAAATCTAGATAAATTGATAAACGAAACGAGTGTGTCATCGATTTCTACCGATTGATCGATACAATCGATAACAATCAAATCAGATCTACCGATTTATCAATTGATAAATCGATACCGATTTTATCGCTTGACTACACTAGGCTCTTTCGAACACCTAAGTTCTATGCCCTCCAAGCGCAACATGAACATGTAATGAGCGGCTGTAAATTTAGGTTACTGCAGAAAACAAGCGTACTAAAAACAAAACGCGCGTGCGGTTCTAAGCATAAGTGAGTAAATGATTTGGTGATTTACAGATTACAAAAATGAAACTCTAGTCACGTATTATCCGACGTATAACGACTCACTTAAAAAAGGGTGAAGTTTGTTCGAAAACGAAATCAGTAGCTGGCACGATATTACTACCATAAAAGGAAACAAAACCAAAAAGTATTTCAGCGGTCATTAAAACAGGATCAAAACAAATATTCATGGCTATTCAACTGATGAGCATGTAGCACTTATTTCATTTATCGCCGTGTTCTGGTTCAGCCTTAATCAGCTTTAATCATGGTTTGCTATTTCTCTATTTTCTTGATCTTCTCTATTTCTGGCGGTTCACTGGGAACAACCACCTCACCTCAACAACAAAACACCGCAAAGTTAAAAGATTTATGTGAGGTAAGAATTGATTACTTTGTTTTAGCTGACATTTCTAGATCTCGGGAAGGATGTGAATAAAAACCTAATTAGAAAGGTCTGCAATTACTGGAAAAATAACAATGTCTGCTTTGTCAAAGCCTCACGCACTTTCTCTACGCTTTACAATTTCCCTTAGATCAACTTTTTATACTTTGGTTATGGATTTCAAATTTCGTCTCACGTCTTGTACTGGCCTGCCTTTTAAACAATATATTTCGCAGTTCTTGATAAAAGACGAGTATCGATAGCCCGTCGTGGCATATTAATCGAATTGAGGGTGAATCGGTACTTTTTTCAGTGACATCATAATCATAATCATTATCATTTCATTATTATTATTGTACTTTACGGGGTGGGGGGGGGATGGATTCCTTCCCCTAGGTTTTTGATATGTTCCAGTATTTCGAAAATATTTTACCTTTCTTGGAAAGCCTTTGATCATCTTGACAAGATGAGGTATATTTTATGAGTGGTGGCGCTGCTAAAAGACTGTGACGTCACCAAACATGGTCGCCATCTTGGATTTTACCCATAGTTAGAAATCAAGTAAAAACGAAGAGAATTGGTACTTTTTTGGTGCTTGGCATGTAAAATAAGACATAAATAAGTACTTCTTTTTATACCCTTTTTTTTGCTTTCATCATTAAAACAAGTTGAAAGACATGCATTTCCACTCAAAAATGGCTTGACCAGCAACTAATTATGACGTCAAATCTCGGAACTATGTGACTGGTCGTCACCAAACTGTTGTCAAAATGCGGGCGAAAGATAAAAGAACAGCTAGTGGAAACGAAGGTGCTGATGCTTCACAGTCAAGGGAAAAACTCAGAAAAACCTCATGCCATCATGTATCGTTTATCTAGGAGTTTGCCCCGAATTATTAAACTAACGCCCGACAAACCATTTGACCCGACCACTTTCTTATAGCCCTGAATAAAATAATACTTTATATACAATTCCCTCTAGGTTATTATTATTATTATCATATTTTTTTCTTTTAACGTCCTATTTCAACACTGAAGTTTTCATAGGTCTCCATGAATTTCCCTGCCACCATATTTCACTACTTGCTGTCATTACTTACACTTTTTTTGCTACCTTGCTTCTGAAAAAGACAGTAGCTCTTTCAATGCATTACCTCCATTCGTGGCTAACTTAGAATATTTCGAGTGAATATGTTATTTCAGATGCGCATTTCTCTTTTCGACAGGTCATTTGGTTACAATTCATCTTTATTTTCAGAAATATACACTGGGTCGTGGTTTTCCGGGCATCCCAGGATCAAATGGCATTCCGGGAATGCCGGGCGTCCCAGGACCGCAAGGACCCCAGGGAAGGAAGGGCGCAAAAGGAAAAATTGGTGATAACGGATTACAAGGAATGCAGGGTCCAAGAGGAGACAGAGGGCACGAAGGGCCTCCTGGGAAGGGTGGACCGCCAGGAATTAAGGGAGTAAAAGGTGAACCGGGACTTGCGGGTATGAAAGGAGAGCCAGGCATTGTGGGAAATCAAGGAAGAAAAGGAGAGAAAGGAGAAAGCGCCAACGCAAGTCAAGCAAGTGCAGTACCACAAACCAACTGGAAACAATGTGTGTGGAAATCAAACATCCCTATTGATAACGGGAAAGTTAAGGTAAGCAAGGAAACGCGCACAGTGAGTTCTTACATGAAAGGAAAGTAGACTGGTGTGAACAGGCCGGGAAAAATCCAAGCCTTTGCTGAGATTAAAATCTAACAGCAATCAAAAGATTATAAATCTCTGCATCCTTTCAGCCTTAACCTGACTTGATAGCGGAGCATCATGGGTAAGAAAAATGACACCAACAGATCCGAAAAGGTTTGGTTATCACGTGACCGTCAGTCCGTATATATGTATGCACATACTTAATTACGTCCGTCAACCCCGTACATGTTAACCGACGTCAAATGTAACATTTACTGCTCAAACGGCCACCTGGACTTTTAGAGAGAAAATAACAACAACAAAGCCGAGTCTTTTTTCGACTAAATTTTTATGTATAACATGGATAACAGAGAATGAGCTAGCTTGGGAGATAAAGAGATAAAAAAAAGAGACGAATTTCGCTGGAAGAACAACATGGAGTTTTTATAGCGGAGGTGAGAAAATGAGAAATGCTGAGGAAAAAAAAAGCGTACAGGAACACAATTATTTATTCACTACGTTATTTGGCATTTCAACAGATACAACCTTACTAGCTATATATTTTTAAGTCTTCTTTTTATCTATTATTTACTTCTTTATTACTGTTATTACTACAATTATAATTATTATTATTATTATTATTATCATTATTATTATTATTTTCCAGGGGTGTGCTTTTAACAAATTGAAGTCTAATTCAGCACTCAAAGTCTCATTCCAGGGAAACATGAGGGTCTCTGGTGATAATCAGTGTAATCGGTGGTATTTCAAGTTTAATGGAAGCGAGTGTAGTGGACCAATGACGATTGAGGCTGCTGTTTACAACAACTGGCCATCTGGGAACCCTCATCTGCTGCATCATCGGTCTTTTGAGGGGTACTGTGAAAACATTCCACAAGGCGCGGTTACAGTGGAATTATGGGTAGGAGAGTGTAGTGGCCAAACCTTGGGTGATGCTCACACCGGGTGGAATTCAGTGTCCCGGATAATGATTGAAGAAGTATCTAGGCCCCAGTCCTAATAAGAGTATATTCTTTGGTGAGATTTTGTTTCCTGATCAGTGTTATTTCTACGGTCGCTGAACGTCAGAGTCAAAGGAGTGCAGATGTCTGCAAGAGCAATTTGCATCGTCATTTTTCAAACGTTACATGGATAAAAACTCTATCAGTGTTGAGTGGCAAGTTCAAGTTACCTTTTACCCTGAGATCGACCACATTCTTAGACGTTGGGGTCAAAGCAAAGATCTTAGAATAATCGTTCCTATAAATAAACATAATAATTGAAAAACTGTTTCAACAATATATATATATATATATATATTTTTATATTTCCTTTCTTTGTTATACGTTCATGCTTTTCGAAAAATAAAATTACATTGGCACTCAAACTATTTTAAGACGCATTCAACTAGCCAGGAAATGTTAGTTCGCGTATAGGCAGTTTAAACCAGACGTTATGACGGAAGAACTCCGCTTCTCTGAATGTTAAAAAAAAAATATGTAATCGCTCGATTTGAGAAGGCAACGATCTATTTGGTGAAAATTGACTTCAGCAAATCCATGCGTCCAGTCGTCTTTCGGGGCTGGAGGGGGGATTAATTTCCTGAAAAGGGACTGGTCATCAAGCTAATAATGTAACGAAATTTGCAGAAACATACTTCCCTTGAGCGCTCTATGAGTTGTCGCATGCCCAAATTCTCCGTGGAACTTTGAAAAAGTTACCATAGTGAGTTCTACAGATTTTGTTTTCTTTTTTTTTTTCAAACCGGTTTCATCCAAGGGATTTCGAAACGGGCATTCTTGAGCCACAGCATGGTAAGGTACAAACGCAACATTTTTTGGTGTGGTATCGAAGAGGGAAGAAGTGACAAATTAAGGCACATTTAAAAGAGAAAAAAATCACAAAGTAACAGCTTTTAAAGCTATTGAAAGTTTGATATTTTTGATGTTAAAATATCCTCTGTTTATGTATCTTCAGTCTCCGACTTGCCCGCCGACGTGAACATAAAATGACCTTTTCGAACCAACGATAAGAAACTAAAACACAAAGAAGAAATTCGAGATAAGTTGATATTCGCTTTTAATAAATACCTCTTATTAGCCGAGTTTTCTGTCCGTACTGTAAATTACGGACCGAGTTTTTTTCCGCTTGGGCCATAAATCGATGGAAAAAAAACGAGGATCCGTAATTTACAGTACGGACCGAAAAAACGAGGCTAAAAAGATGTTTATTATATGACTTCTTCCTGTTTGGGGGACCGGAAACAAGTGCAGGACGCACGATTTGACAGTCATTTGACAGGCGTCAAAAAAGAAAGTTTTTATTGGCGCACAAAAACAATAGCACATAACAAAGGCTTTCCGAGAAAGTAAAAACAAATTCGCCATGCTGAAAAAGTTTATTCGGTCAAATCTAAGAGCACTGTAAGTTTTAGCTCTTTAATGTAACGCTGGAGTATTTTGGAAACCGGACACTGTGTCTGTCTAGAAGTCGTTTCCATCTTTCTTCCGTTTGTCCTTGTGAAAAAACTCTGCAAAAGGCAAAGAAGCTTTTCAAGGTAAGTTTGTTGTCATTGTCGAAGGATTCGCTCGTTAATTGTTGTTGGGAAAACCTCTCTTTCTGCCAGTTTATTCTCGTCTTCTATTGTGATCTGCTTTAAAATTTTCAAACACTGACTAGAATTCTCTTCCTCGGTAAGGTTACGATTCAGTTTCTACAACAGCTTCGTTCTCATTAAAACAAATTAAAGCTAGGTTAAAATTTGGAAAGGCAAAGTCAATATCCCAGTCCTCAAGGTTTACATACATATTTCAAAGTTTATTCGGTGGAAACTAAGAGTACTGTAAGTATTCACTCGTTAATGTGACGCTGGAGTCTTTTGAAAACTGGACATAACATAACATAACATAACATAACATAAAACTTTATTTATACTCGAATTTTAGAGTAGCTAACAAGCTAATATCTTCGAGCTGACATTATTGTGTCTGGCTCGAACTCGCTTCTATCTTTCTTTCGTTGGTCTTTGAAAAAACACTGCAAATGGCAAAGAAGCTTGTCAAGATGATCGGGAGCAGGTATGTTTGTTATCATATTTGTTGAAGGAATTACTCATTTTCTCTTAGGCAAAACAACTCGAATCTCTGTCAGTCGATTTTCGTCTTCTTAACTGTGTACTACGATAAAATTTTCGAACACTGACTAGAATCCTCGTCGATAAGATTACAAGTTACTTTCTTCATCTCCTTCGTTCACAAATAAACACAGTTTAAAATGTTGAAGGCCAAAGTCAACATGCATCCAAGTCTTCAAGGTTGACAGGCGTCTTATAACTTTTTTTAAATCTTTTTTCCGAGGTAAAGAGATTTAGAGCTCCGAAATGAGCATTTTCTTTAAAAATTTTGGTCCGTATTGCAATTTACGGATTTACGGACCGCAAATTGACCAATCGCAAGGCGAAAACAGACTCAGCCGTATAATAAATGAGCTTATAGCATTATAGCATTTAATGCATCATAATATTTCAGTCCTTATATGCCGGACAATACAATATTTCGTTTGTATTGTTATTTCTTTCAAGCCGTTTCTGTCCTTAGGCGCGCTGTTCATTATTTCAATTAACTACTGCAACTCAAAAACAGAAGGGTACCGAAAGAGATTATCCTTCATGGGACGAATATAAAATATAAAGACCCTATACAGTTAAAAACATGGTTAGAGAAATAATTGTAAGCTAGACCATGTTTAGCTCAGAGGGTGTGAGATAAGGTGGTTTAAAGATCAACATTTTAGTGAGGTAATGATCACGTCTGGACTCATTTAGCTGGCGCTGAATCAAAATTCTAATTTAACATTTAACACCACTCACCAAAAAGTGGATGTATGCCAAAAATTTAAGGTGAAACAACAGAAAACAAAACATGTCCCAGAGAAACGAAGCAACATTTATCATTCATATAACATTAAGCATCGAATTCTAATGTTGTGCGAGTCCTCACATACACTGTAAATGACTCGGTGATTTGAAGATAGATAATTGAGGTGGAGCTTGGTCGAAACAATCATGAGGGACCGTGAAGCGTCGTTGAACCGATCGCTTAAGCATGTGCATACAACTATTTCGGTATTTCGGGGACATGTTCCTCAGGGATTTTTTTTTTAATTTAGGCCTTCTGATCCTTATATATTAGTAGTATACTATTTTGAAAGATAAGCCCCGTTGGTGGATTCCCTTTGGATTCCCTCGCAAAAAGTGGATTCCCTTTATCGATATGTATAAGTGTCCTCCTGCATAATAATAAGTGCCTTCCTCCATATATAATGAAGTGGATAGGTTTACTAATGAGCATCTCTCTATACTACAGTAGAAACAATAGGCTTGCCTAGACTTGCACGGTAAGTAACTTGAGCCCGGTTTGAACGTCTATCAAAAGAGAAATAGGAATAAGAGAAGCGATCACCTAGCAACGCGAGATACGGCTTCCTATATCTAATTTAGCGCTAAAACTCAGATACATAAACAAAACACATAC